GTCATCCCTCGGCTTGCCTACTCCTCCTCCACCCGCGGCTGCTGGCTGGAGCCTCTTCCCCACCCCCAGCCTGGCCCCAAACTGGAGATGGCAGGGGAAGATGCAGTACAAGCTCCCTCCCTCTTCCCAGGTTCAGGGCCCCACTGCGCGGTGGCAGCAGCAGGGGGCACAAATTTTGCCTTTGCTCCCAGGCACATAACACCCTTGCTACGCCTCTGATTCAATAGGTCATTCTGATGTGCAGTAGAGAATAGGCAATATAGCAAAACTGAGAGATGGTGGGCTTTGTAGGATGTGGTTTTTGTGAAATTATGCTCTCTCATGTGGATGTCTAAATTTGAATTCTTCAAATTCGTGGGCAGAGAATGAAGACCATTGTAAAGCACAACTACAATTGTTTTTAACATTTTCCGTTTGTTTTCTTCCTGCACTTTAATTGTTAAAGTGACTGTGCCATGCCTTGAGTAGAAATGAGTATCAAGTTCTGGGAAAGGAAATGATAGTGGATTTGTTTTTAATGACTGAGGAACTTCTTAAAGAACAAATGTATGCATCAGATAATGATTCAAGTAAAGACTTAAATTCAGGTTATTGTGGTTGGAACAGCTTGGGGTTTCTTTCCTGACTGAAAACACACGAATTCCCAGGAATCTCAGAGGAACAGCCAGCCGTGTTAGTCTCATGGAAATACAGGGGTGTTGTACATCAGAAAGAAAATGCCTGGTGAAGGAAGTTTGCAATTGTGTGACTGGTGGTGTTCTGGGAGCAGCAGAAAGATAAGAAGGCTTTTGTGGGTGCACAGTGTGTAACACAGAGTACAGTAGAAACTCTAAACCAGTGGTCTCCAACCTTTTTAAGCACAATATCACTTTTTGAATTTAAGTACAATCCAGGATCTACCTCAAACCAAATGCCCTGACCCCACCTCCTTTTGTGCCCCTTCTCTGAGGCCCTGGACCTGCTCACCCTTGTCCTCCCTCCCTCCCTTCCCCCATCCTTCCTCCCTTTCACCAGGTGGAGCAGAGGGTTGGGGCACAGGCTTTGGTCTTGGGCTAAGGGATTTGCAATGTAAGAGGGGCTCTAAGTGGAGCCTGGGGCAGGGGTTTGGGGTGCAGGAAGGGGTTCATGACTAGGGCAGGGGATTGGCGCTGGCTCCAGCTGGGCACTGCTTACCTCAGGTAGCTCCTGGGTGGTGGTGCAATGGGGCTAAGGCAGGCTCACCCCTGCACCACTCCCAAAAGCATCCAGCAAACTCCCTCCATCCCAAGCCCTGCTGTGCCTCCCCGCTCCGTTCAGTTGAGACAGAATACAGGATGGGAGAGGGGGCACCCTGACATCAGTGCCCCCTCCTCTCCCTTCCCTGCTCTGCACAGCAAGTGCAGGGGATGCTCTAAGGCAAAGTGTGGGGGGAAGTGCGGGGGGAAGCTCTAAGGCAAAGTGCAGGAGATGCGCAGCAGTGGGGGGAGGAGCAGCTGAAGTGCGGGCAGGGGCAGATGACCATTTTGTGGGGCCCAGGGCAGCACAATTTCGCGGGGCCCCCCTTTGCCATGGCGCACGCGCGGGGCTTCTTGAAGTGCGGGATCCAGGGCGGCCACCCCGCTCGCCCTATCCTATATCCGCCCCTGAGTGTGGGCTCTTGATAGCCTCTTGGCCAAACCAGTCAGGATCACCTGTCAGGGGCTCCAAGAGCTACCAGTAGATCCCGAACTACTGGTTGGCAATCACTGCCCTAAACAATATCTATGTCCCTGTTAGATGTAATGAATACACGTAGCCAATAGATGGCAATGTGATGTGGCATCTGTAACTGGAGATTTGGGAGTAGATGTGATGAAACATTGAAGATGCTCTTGTTGAGTAAGAAACGAGAAGCCATGTTTTAATTAATTAGTTCATGGAGACATATTTTGCAATCTACCTGATGCCTAGCACATTGACAGGGATTTTAGCCATCTTTATTAAAAATCAATCTTCATTAATCTTTCCCACCTGTCTGTTTCAAATAACTGACGCCAATGTATGTTGTGTAGTGTCGGTTTTAATGTATGTCTTCTGCTGAGAAACTGTATGCTGCCTTTGGAGAGGATGGGTTGATGGTTTAACAGAGCAGTGATATTTAAAATAGACCAGTTGCTTTAGGTTAGCAAACTCAGTCCTGATTGTATTCAAAATACTTACTATAGGAAGCAAAAGGAAGTACAAGGGAATGCTCAGTAACACCGTGAAGTGCAGCCAATATTTTAACACGGGGCTGTCCTCAAAATGTTCCCTGGTAGCCTATGCCAAACCTCATGAACCGGGGGTGTGAGCTCACAGACAAGTGATGATGAGAATTCTGTTCATTTTTTCTCTATTTAAACAAAAAAAAACCCTTTACTCATAACCAAGGAGGTAGCAATATTCAGCCAATAAACTTCTATTAAGTTGCATTGTGCTGGGAATATATTGAGTGCATACAGTGGCAGCCCATCAATACAGGCGACCTAGGTGGTCGCCTAGGGTGCCAAGATAAATGGCCATTGAGGGCTTTGGAGGCGGGGGCGCTAATCGCACGTTTCGCCTAGAGTGCCAGTTGCCGGCAGCTCATCTAGGGCCGCTCCTGAGTGCATAAATAATAGAGTACATCATCCTCCTAGAAGAAGCTAAAACTTAAAATTTGTATAATTCTACAGGGATTTTCTAGCACAGATTATGCCCCCCTCCATCAATTAGTGCAAGCTAGCCCATTCCAAAAGCAAAATATTTGTTCTAGCATTTTATGAGAGTCAAGAGTAAAGCATCTTTAAAACACTTGATTTTATAGTGTCCACCGAATGGGTGATTTCACCAGAAGAGAAATCATATCATACTTTCCTTCAGTGATATTATTTTAAGCACACTATTGAGGTAATCTTTATTTCAGTAAATCTGATAGCCATTTCAGTAAAGCTGTCAGTACCACCACTGGAGGTATTTTTGATCTCTAAAGATAGACTTTAGTCATAGCTATGAATTAGAACACCCCTGAACTTTATCTAATGTACATGTTTCTCTCTAATATAGCTAAGTGTTTCTAAGATACTTATTATCTTGATATCAAAACCCCTAAAATTGGGAAGGAGATGTTTAGACTCTGAATAAAGATTTGTATTTGTGCACTTGACCCCAGTTTTTATATAATGGACCAAAGAAATCTAAAAGACCCCAGAATTCTGGTAGGTTTAAAATAAGGATCAAGCTCCATGCATTGTGAATTGAAGGCCGGGTCTACATTAAAATGGAAGGTTGAATCAAGATGTGCAAGTCCAGAGCTGTTAAGTACATACTGGAGTTGACATACATTGTTTTGAGTTTCCCTGCTGTCCACACAGTGAGAGGCAGGTGGAAGCAAACATCAGGGCACGATAGGAACCTTCAACCAAACTCCTCAAAGTGCTTTCTCCACACACCCGCATCACCCAGGTCTTGTTCAGATTCAGCTTCAAACAACTCTGTACATGCACACATAGTAAGAAGAGTCCTAACAGTTAAAATTTCCACAAGTAAAGACAATAAAATAAAACAACCCAAGAGGACAGGGAAACAGCTTAATTAAGAGCAAGGTAACAGCAAAATATATTTCTTATAAGAAGCAGCAGTTGCATACTCGCTGCACTGCGTACCTTAGCTAATGTAAACCACAATATATTACAAAATAAATATATAATAGGATCCTCTGGTTCTATAGCTATGATGACATGAACATTATTTTATTTTAACCTTAGGGATAGAATAACTAATCTGTGGGGATCTGATGGATTCTCATTAGCTATTGAAACATAAGCAAATGGAAGATTACAAAATGTTATATACATGTCTAAAAATCAGCCACCAAGCATCTGTCTTCTGATTCAGCAATTATTTGGAACGTATGTGTTGAGAACTGAACCTAAACACAACATCTGGAAGTCATTGAAATGCTGGTGGTTTTTCTACTGCCAAGTTTTCCATCTGAGTTGATAGAGACACAAGGAGGACAAGACACTTGCTAAAGAGCAGAGTGAATGTGTAGCTCAAATTTGAGCTATATTCTTTTGTCTTAAATACTAAATGAAGAGCATCTAATAATTTCACTCATCTGTAATATAACTTCTAGAAAAATAAAAAAATCTTGTTTTTTCATTGTTGAGATCCTTTTTAATTTTTAACAATATCAATATTTTTGCTTTGCTTACATTAATGCTATTTTTTAAAAATCATTGTTCTAATCTGTTTTCTTGTTAAGGAGACCATAAAGGGAAAAGGCTTATGACTTTTAAGGAAATCTAGGCCAGAACTCCTCTGGTTCCTGGATCTTTGTTTTCACTGTCAGACCACTGTGCCCCCACATTGTCTAGGAACACGCTGTACTCCAGTCTTAGACCACAATGCTGCTATTTATAATGTGTGGGCATATCCCTACATCCACAAACAGTCTTCTTAACTTCAGTAGTTTTTTTGTATGGGTGCCAGGTGGCTTGCATGTTGAAAATTGGCACTCGTGGATTGAAAAGGGCTGTTATGGATATAGTGGATATGGAAAAAGGCTCATGGGCATCAAAGATGAACAGAGGTATGTGATGATTCCATATAAGGAGAGAAGATTCAGCTTAGAAAAGGGATGATTAAGCAGGGATGTGATAGACATAGTTAAACTCATGAATGGGGTCGAAAAAGTGAAGAGAAGTATTATTTATTTTTTCCCACAATCCAAAAGCTAGGGGTCACCCAATGAAATTAGTAGGCAATAGGTTTAATACAAATAAAAGGGAGAATTCTTTCACACCATGAATAATTAACCTGTAGAACTCTTTGTCATGTGATATTGTGATGACCAAAAGTATAACTGGGTTAAATCAAGATTGTTAGTGATGTAACACTATGCTTTGGGTGACCCTAAACCTCTGACTGCCAGAAGCTAGGAAGAATGCAGATAAAAAAAGCTCTTTGCAACAGTAGTTGATCCAATATAATATATTATTTCACGTACTTTGTCCCTCTAGATGCTGAAAAGGCAAGACAGATGTCGACCTCTCTCAGATTATCCTGTTCAATACACATCCCTGAAGCTCTGGTACTGCCCATTGCTGGAGAGAAGATAGTGGACTAGATGGACAATTGGTGTGACCCAGGATGGCAGTTACGTTCCTAAACAGAACCTTCTGTATATTAAAGGTAATTAATGCTGACAGCTATTCATTAGTAGTTAATACAAGTAGACTAACAATGGCAAAATTGCTGCTGGTGGCAACAGCATGTCGTTTCTGTATTGTGTGTGTATGTGTCTTTTTTGTTGTACCTTTCAACCTCTATGCCTGCTGACAAACGGCTGTTCCCATTTGAAAGAGAATTTGCTTGTAAAACTGAAATCAAGGACTCTGAGGGCACATTTATGCTAAAGAGGAAGGTTAACTTAAGATACAGAACTCCAGCTACATTAATTACATAGCTAGAGTTGACGTATCGTAAATCACCATCCACACAGTGGGAGGTTGACAGGAGCAAACGCTTCACTTACTCCTTGTGAGGAGTAGGAGTACTGGTGCCGATGCGGGGAGGGAATCTTTGAGTTTGGTCTAACAGATCTATACTACACCCACTAAATCGAGCTCCAAAAGACCAACTGCAGCAGCATTGATCTTCCGCATAGTGGAAGGCCACATGGCCTTAGAATGTAATCATTCTCTACTTTATTAGTCTCTCCTTCCAATTTCCACTCATTGCAGGACGATATTACAATTCTTCCCACATGTTTCATGTTTTCATAGAATCATAGAACACTAGAACTGGAAGGGACCTCAAGAGGTCATAGAATCCAGTACCTTGCCCTCACAGCAGGACCCAGTACTGTCTACACCATCCCTGATAGATGTCTATCTAACCTGCTCTTAAATATCTACAAAGATGGAGATTCCACAACCTCCCTAGACAACTTATTCCAGTGTTTAACCACCCTGACAGTTGGGAAGTTTTTCCTAATGTCCAACCTACCTCCCTTGCTCCAGTTTAATCCCATTGCTTCTTGTCCTATCCTCAGAGGCCAAGGAGAACAATTTGTCTCCCTCCTCTTTGTGACATCCTTTTAGATACTTGAAAACCGCTATCATGTCCCCTCTCAGTCTTCTCCTTTCCAAACTAAACAAGCCCAATTCTTTGTCTTCCTTCATATTTTCCTTTAATATCAAACTGTGCCACAGAACTTACTGTAATTGAGAAGTTCGATGGGGAAGGGGGATAATCAAATTCTCTCTGTTTCTGGAAAATTAGGGAAATGCAAATACAAAACTCCACTTGTTGCAATCCACCTGCAGACCACTAAGGTTTTGCTAAGGCAATTTGTATTTAAGCAAGATGCTTAATGTAAAAAAAAAAATCCCTTTCAGGTTATGTCTACATACAAGTAAAAACCTGCAGCTGTCCCAGGTCAGCTGACTGTGGAGCTTTTTCATTGCAGTGCAGACTTTGGCCTACCACCCGGGACCCTTCCTGGGTCCAAGAGCCTCAGGTTCAGTCTGAGCCCAGAAGTCTACCCTGCAATAAAACATCCCCACAGTCTGAGCCCAAGTCAACTGGCGCAAGCCACCTGCAGGGTTGTCATTGCAGATTAGACATATCCTCTCTTATTTAAACATCTGGATGTCTTCTGGCTCATTCCTGTTAGACACTAGCAAAAACCAAAGCCATTTTGGTCTTCTGTAGATAATATATTCTGGAATGGTATATGGCCCAGCCAGATCATTTCAGTAGGAAAGAAATACCTCAGGGACAGAGAGAGAAAAAATTATACTACAAGTAATTCTCAATACAAACAAATTTTTTAATAACAAATGTAAAGAGGACTCTTGAGATAGTAAATAATAATGTAATGAATCAGACTTGGAAGGGTAACTGGTCTTTAGATTTTGCTACTCATTGCCCACAGCTCTATTTACTGCTATATAAATTAAAGAGTGAAAAACAAGATAAGTTTGGCAAAATTCAGATGCTGCCCAGTCCATATTTTCTGTGGTTTTTAATTCTGAGATGTCTTCATAAAAATATGCAGGTAATTCTGTCCTACATTAGATTAGACTGGATTTTTCTATTGGTCCCTTCAGGCCTTAAAATACATTCATCTAGCTCAGAGGGGAAATATTGGTTCTTATAGTAGATGAGCATACCCTATGTCAGTAAATCTACATGTATCGGTACCAAACATTAAAATATATGTTCTGTTGAAAAGACATTCTACTAAGTGTTAAAATATGAGGATATTGGCAAGTAAGAGTGCGCAGATTGGACCTCTGTGTGCTGAGAGCAATGTGTCTCCTTATTCTTATTTCCTTGGTTTCGTGATAAGATGTAATGGAATGTTGATATTTTATAATGGGAGATCTCTAGGGGAAAAAAGAAAAATAAGTTTAATGTACAGTGTTCAACTTCAGATGTTTTGAAAACATTCACTTACATATGAAAAAAAGTTTTGGTGGTATTTACTATACAACTTTCACAAGTCTTTCCACTTTCCCATGAATCTTTTAATTTAAAATAATCATCTGATAGCGTACATGCACAGTTTTGAATCTCCACAGTACATTGAAAAAAGCACTTGAAAAGTAGCTGTTACCCCAGTAGTGTTAGCCAAATGCATGGAAGCAGTAATTGGAGCAGAATAAATTTCTTCTGTCATCTTCACACTTGGTACTCTCTCCAAAACTTCCCAAAGAGCAAATCATTTAGCCACTCATTTGGAAAAAGAGATATCTGAGACAGCCTGGGGAAAGGTTAACTTTACCTGATAGCTGCCTGACCTTTTGACCCTGTTGCCCTTGTTGAAAGGAATTATTTTGGTTCTCAACCACTACACCTAGCAAAGCTGGGATTGCATGAACGATCTTCATATCTGAAAAAGGGCCACTGAAATAGATGCTAGCTTTAGGGGTGGATTTTCAGAGGAGCCTAGTTCCCATTTAGGCACCAAAATAAATGGCCAGATTTTCAAAAGCGCTCTGCATATTGATCGCTGGGGTCTTTGAAAATCTGGCTTTGGGTATAAAAAAAATGTGGCTGGAGCCTAAGTATGTTTGAAAATCTGTCTCTTATTTATGTGTCCAAATGAAAGCTCATTGAGAAAACCAGACCTTAAAGACAGTCCTCTACTTTTGTTCAATGAGTGGAATGCCCATGTATACCAAAAGAAGTTCTGAGCAAAGATTAGACTGTGGTATTAGTCCGTAAGAAGCATGAGTTAGTTAAATGGTGTACATCAATAAATTCAAATAATGAATTCTAATATTCTTTACCTTGTCTCTAAATGGGGAAGAGAATATAGTGCTTTGTATTGAATTCATAAGGAATATCTAACTAAGTTGCCTGACTGGGATAATTTACTTGGGATTTGTTCTGCTTTTAGCGGAGGGCTGGGCTCAATGACCTCCTGAGATCTCTTCCAACCCTATGATTGGATGATTCTATAAAAGAAGCTGTCCCTCATACAACTTACATTTATAAATTGTGCAAAAATGAAGGAATCCATGATTAGTTGCTTTCCCAGAAATGAGTGGCTGAGTTGCATTCTTTTATCCTGAGTGACTCTTAAGAACAAACAAACAAACAAAACAAAAAATATTCATTATAGAGTCGACTATTGGAAGTTTTAAATTAGAATGTGACTTTTTTGTAATTCACAAATTATATAATTCTTTATCATTCGGACACATACTGTATCACAAATATAACATTTATATTCCCTTAGGAAAGGAAAGGAAAATTATGACATTCTTGTTGCGGTCGTAAGGCCATATATGGTAGTGCCCTATATTCATGGGCACAGTTCCCATTGTCCTCAGTAGAAGCTCCATCAGGGATCAAAAGCTGTATGTGGCTCTTAATGTGTTCTTTTTGGATAACATGCCAAAACACATACATTATTTAGGACATTATGTATGTAACTGTTTTAAAATGTTCTGTAACCAGATGTATATCAAGACCTAATGCTGCAGCATGTGGCCAACAATAATACCTCAGTAGGAGTATAAATGAATCAATATAACGGCAACAAAAAGTATAAGGAAGAAACTGCACCAGTAACAAAAATGATTATTGACCTTAAAAAGACATTAAAGCAAGTTATGTTGTTCAATGACTGGACATTACACTGCTGCTGATATTTTTCTGGCATACAACTTCAAATAACATTTTTTCCAATGATGTGTCTCACTATTGTAGATCTAGCAGGAGGAATAGGGCTTTAATCTTGAATCAGTGAGACAGGAGTCATGAAAAGTATAGTAAATCCAGCATAAAACTGTCTTTCCCCAAAACCCGCCTTAGAAAAACTCTGGAAAAGCAGAGCATTTTCATTTGAGTTGTGTACGCACGGAGACGACAGAAAATAATAGCTTTTCATGTGGCAATAAGAACACAAATCACCAAATTCATACAAGATTGTTAACATCTCACATGCACTTATCAGTATGTAACATACTCCAAGCACTACACGTCACCTTGTATTTGGCCCCAGTGAGCCTGACTTTCAAGGAAATCTAGGAAATTGAAGCAGCATACAAAAAGTACTCTTTCTCTGGGTGTTCGTCTTTGAGTCCAAGTTTTATGGGTCTGACTCAATTCTCAGGATGAAAAGCTATGCCCTTTCTTTAGCACAGTAATATTCATCTTAAGTTGCAGCATTATTCAATTAAGCCAAAACAATGATGAAACAGTGCAGAGATTCCATTTAGATAAGGACCAAAAAGGGTGCATGCATGCCTGCCCTATTTACTGAAACCTTTTATCTGCAAAATTAGGCTGAAAGTCTCACATGAACATGCTTCTTCCCAATATTTCTTTTACTGTCTGTTTCTGGGTAGGCTGAAAATACAACAGGAAGGAGTCTTCCTTCAGAAAGTATTTTGCTTCTGGTTACCCACAATGCAATAGCACATGTGAAACGAAGGGGATAAAGTTAATCAGACTTTTGAAATGTGTAAAAAAGTGTGTTCAGATAAGAAGCATGGGAGAAAGATGGAGTCTACTTTTATTTCAGTTACATTGGTGGTCATGGAAGGTGCTGTAGTAATGGCTCGAGACATTGAAGTGTTTTGCCTCCACTCCCTATTAAATAAAGCACAAAGATCAGCAGCAATGCAAGCCACCCTAGGCTGCCTTGGCAATATATTTCAGAACAAGAAAGAATCAATGAGTGTTCCATGCCCCACAAATCCCTGGTCTCTCTGCTGAGACTGTGAACAGAAACACCAATTTGTACATATTACAGTGGTGGGTTTTTGAGGTGGAAGGAGAGGGGCTCATTTAACTGGACAATGAAAAGGCAATAGACAGTGTGTGTATATTTCATTCAAACCCTCTTAGAGCCATTCAGTCTTAGAAATGTCAGAACTAGTTCACCAACAACTAACTAGTAAAAACTGTGCCTATTATTTGAATTATTTCTAGTTATAAAAAGGAAGAAGAAAAGAAATAATCAGGGACCTGATTTTGTCCACAATGGCAAATATCTTATTTTGGGAGAAGTCCTGTCAACTTTAGTGGGTCTGCTCGTGTGAGTTTCTTCTCAGCCTGAGAGTGTTTATATAATACTTCAGCAAAGCTATTTAATGTTCCTACTAATTCCTGTGAATTAACCCTTGAACATATGTGCTGTGAGGAGAATGGCCCTTGAATACACTGTTCTGTGGAACCGGAAGGATTTGTCTAGCTTTTTCTGTGTCTGTGTATTTTAAGAATCAACAAAAATGAATTCACAGTGAATATTTCCAGTTGTTCTCGGCTCCCCAGAGTGAACAGTCTGGGAATGGCATGCCAGTTGGTGCACTGCTGCTCTGAAGCAATGCAGTAGGAATGGCTCCCCAGAGATGCTGAATGGTTCTGCCCTACATTGCAAGAGGCAGCAATGCTTCCCTAACAAGGATGCCTGTTAGCAGTGCAGGGTCCTAACTGGACAGACACCAATCCTTTTACTCACGCACACAGTAGTGCCTTGCTCCTTGAATAGTTCCACTGACGTCAAGGAATAAGGGACTACTCAACATGAGTCAAGGTAGCAAAATCTGCCACTAACAAATGAACCTATGTATAGGCAGTGGTAGCGGGTTTCCTGTGCAGGGCCTTCTATCTGACTTTTCTGTTCATATTGCAATGCAGCTGATGACACCTGCAGGCAGCTGACGTGTGGCAGTGTTCCTCTTTCCCAGCAGGAGCCAGCAGAACACTTGAAAATAATTAATTGAGAGCCCATAGCCATCCTTTTTCATCTTGCCAACCATCTTGATGGAACTGCAGAAACCGGAATGAAGAATAATTGGGCCTAAGTTAAATGTATTCTAAATAAAAACATTAGAAAATGTGTGAGTAAAGCGGAACAGCAGGTTTCATTAGTGGCTTATAAACAACACTGAAACCTGGAAGTGACAATTAACAGCCACCCACAGCTTGTTAAGTCCATAATAAAAGGTTACAATTCATACAGCACCATCTGGAAGGGAAAATGAAATCATTACCCAATAATACATACTTTTATTAATAACTTTCTAATAGAACCTCTCTAGCAATTACAACAGAGAAGAGCATTTCTTCATCTCAAACTTGAAATAATTCAAGCTTTCCCTTCCTTTGGCTTGGTGACCCTACCAGAAAATTGCTTCCTGGATTAAAGATCTTGCTCTGAATCTGTATGGTAGAATTGATCCTGGGCACTATTGATGGCCCACAAACAGCAGTCCAGCTGCAGCTTGACAAAGGGCAGCAAGAGAGATTAGCAGTTAAAGGACAGTTGAAGAGTTTGTTTTAGGAGATAACAGCAGATGCCCTCAAGGATCCTTGTTTACAGCTGTGATGTGGCAGCCCATATTCTTCACAGAGTTATGTCATAATTATATCATCATAATGTCTTTTATGTGAGGTAGGTCATGTAACATATCATTGGAAAAGTTATGATTTACCGAATGTGATTATACTGTGTGTTAGCATGTATTATTTTTTGTGTCTGCACTCAGGAATATTGTCTAATGTATCAATTACAAGTGTGTACATGCAAGAAATGTTCACTAGGCAATGTCTGTTTAGATGGCCAGCTGGGAAAGACCCATTCAAGTCAATGGACTATTATGAGAAACCAGGAGGTCTTAGAAGATGCTTATCTCCCACTGGGAAACTTTCTTGAGGATGCCTCTGACTCATGGCTGCTGTGCCCTACAGAGACATGTGACCATGTCACTTGATAATGGACTCCATCTTGGAATACCAAGTGTTTTTCCACAGTCTGAGTGTCAGAACTGGGACACAAAGGGTTCCCACAATATGCCAAAGCTATTTAAGGCAAAGGAGAGACATCACTCGTGGTTCTTCACTTCTGCATCCAAAAAGACTCCTAAAAAAACCTGAGGAATAAAGACTTAACTTGGGGGAAGAGCTGAACCCAGGACAGAGGGATCTTTAGCGTATGAAAGGAATATCTGGAGTTTTTCAGTTGCAAGCAAGGGTAGCTGGCCCCTCAAGAAACTCTGTAAACTGCCTAAATCAACAACGAGGTTGAGAATCTGTTACACATAGCTGATCTCCTTAGTACATTAAGCGTAGAATGCATTTTTGTTTATTTGCTAGGTAATCTGCTATGATCTGTTTGTTGTCACTTATAATTACTTAAAATTCATCATGTGTAGTTAATAAACTTATTTTTGTTTTGCCAGTGTGTGGAAATCCTAAATCCTAACTTGAGTCAGAAAGCTGTTGCATGGCTTCTTCCACATTTGGAGAGAGAGCAGAGAGGTGGCGGTTGAACTTCATGAGTTTATGCTATACAATTCTCCGTGCAATGAAAGATTTGATTTGGCATAATTTGGGCTTTGCACTATGTGTGTAAAATCCCATTTAATTGGTTAACCGGTTAAACATATTATAGGGGTGGTGGGCAGGGTTTCAGCCCAACTGGAGAGCCCTCCCACCGTCCACTCCTGGTCTGGAGCAGACCCCACCCCCACGCAAGCAGCAGCTGTACTGTCTGGGCTTAGAGCCTCCCCTGTCTACAGTGCCATGATGGGGGCTGTTTCAGCTGGCCCTCTGTGAAGCTGGAGCAACCCACCTACCCTTCAGCAGGCAGGGAGCTGCTCCAGCTCTTACCAGTTAAACATTTACATCCCTAGCTGTGACAATTTGAGCAGGCTGTGATTTCAACATGACACACAAGAGGATTTGGCATTAAGGATCATCAAAATTCCAGATAAGAGAGGTGAAAATTAGTTAAGGAAAGCCATGAATAGCTATGTGTTAGGTATTTAGATGGGACAGAAGGTAGAAGGCTGTTTGTCTTGGTCACTTTCAATTGCAGGAAATTAAGAGGGAGTCAAATGTTGACATGTTTGCATTGGAGAATAAGAGGGGGAGGATTTTAGTGAGAGGCAGGGTTGGGTGAAAGTTTTAGAGGTAGTTGAGACTGAAGAGTGAAATGTAAACCTAAGAAGCCAAAGAAAGCAAAGGGGATTGAGATTAGAGTTTTGGGGAGGAATTCCTTATAGAGAATCTTTTGGGACAAACAGACAAAATTAGAGACATATAGACAAAAGCATCTGAGGAGGGAGCCAAAAATATCAGCATAGCTCTTGAAACATTCAAGAAACCCTGACTTGAGGTGGGATTTTTAAAAGTACAGGAAGGCCATATTTACAAAGCTGAGGGAGCAACAGGTTTAATAGCAAATTAGTGCACCTGAAATTGCCTCCAGGCCAGAGGGGATGGAGTTAACTAAGGATCATTAGGAACCAGGTCTTTTAAGCAAGCTAAGGGAATTCTGAGGGGAAGACTATAGAGAAGGTAGGACTCTTTTATGAAGAGAAACCCACAGAGAGTAGGTTGGACTCTTATAGGAGGGGAGGAGGAAGGCCTTATGGCGGAAACGGGCAGATTCCAGGTAGGAGAATGTATGGAGAGTAAGTCTGGCTCCTGAGAGGGAAACCCTGAGTAAGGGACTGTAGGAGTGTTTCAGTGAAGCAAGGGAGGGAAGAGTGGTTTGTTCAGATGATAAAAGTGATGCTAGAAGCCTGAGACCCAGACTTAAAGCCAGACTGGGGAAAACCAGCAGCAGGGTGTTTGGAAGCAGGAGGCAGTGCAAGGAAACCACAGTATGTCTAAAAAAGACCTTGGTGTGGGTAGTGGGTGGGCCTGGGTTCCCATACTAGCCTTGGATGAAGGGGTATGCAGACCCAGCAAAAAGATTAATGAGCCCAGGATGGGCCTGAAGAGTAATTCAAATGATGAGCTAAGGACAGTCCAAAGTGAGGTCAGGGGACTGAAGGTGCTGTTGTGTCAGAACACTTTGTGATCTTTTAGTCACATCTTTTTATTGCTCTGGACAGAGGACTGAACTTTGACTTGCTCAAAGGACAGCCACAAAAGACCTGGTCGGAGGCAAACGGCCTGCAGGAGGTGCTGGCGATGAGGGCTCCTTGCAGCATTACCACCTGACACAAGGGGGATGCTTGGGTGAATACATGATTTTACAGGTGCCTACAGACACAGCTACTCACCTAAGTGAGTTAGTTGTCTAGTCTCCACGGACACCTGAAAATTCCACCAGGCACCATTGGGGGTCTTTAGACACCTCAATGCTTTTGAAAATATGATGTTCAGTTCCCATTGACTTTTCCCAATGAGACTTATGCTCCAAAGTCACTTAGAAGCTCTTCAAAGTTCTAGCCTTAAACAATAAGTTTGTCATGAAATGATCCTCTTGAAGGGACTGAGGCAGTGCTTAGAGTACTTGTCAGTATAGGCCAATAATGGATCTGATTTGCATAATATAAATTATGTTTACAGTACTAGTCTGAGTAGCTGTAGTCAGTAATTTGGATCCTCTATATATTCAGTCTTCCATGCTGACTTCAGTGACAAAAATAAAAGGGGTTTTCCCCCACTGTTATTTGTTAAAGCCAACACTGGGGGGAAAAAGGGGAGAAGGGGAAGTGTAGTCTATTTCTTCTTGTAGAGCAGTGGAATTGTTTGCTACATTCTAAGCAGTTACAACTACATGAACACCTAAAGGAAAGGGCACACATAGGTGTCACTAATGGTGTATCCACACTTCAGCTAGAAACCTGAGGCTTGCCCATGTCAGCTGACTCAGGCTAAGGGGCTGTCTAATTGTGGTTTAAACATTCAGGCTCAGGCTGCAACCTGAGCTCTGTGAACCTCTGACTTTGTAGAGTTGTGGTGGGGTTGCATGGATTTAATTGAACCTCTAATGGGGCCTACAGAACCTTTATTACTAAACTTAGCACTAGCAGCTATACTTAAAAATGGTTAGCTTAACTCAATATTCAGCACTCTCCACAGTCAAGTGATTGAGTATTAAATTAAACTTTCAAAAGCAGTTCTGATAAACTTCCACAGCACATAAGAAACCTAAATTGAAGCTAGTAGTATTCTGCAGATGGAATAAACCCTGTTTATTTACCAAGTCACAGCCCTTAAATGAGATTACTGAACATGTCACTGACAAGCAGCAACATGGGGAAAATTTAATTGCAAAAAGTAATTGTTTAAAAATCAGACTTGTCAACCACTGAATTTTCATTTCTTGCTAGGCAGAGCTTAAAAATGAGTAGAGGGCTGAAGAACACAATTCAGTTGTTAAACAGTAAGGAATAGTTGATCTTATATAATGTTTGTTTAGTCAAATGCCCGTTACAATGTGGAACTATATATTAATCAACCACTACAGAAATTTAAGACTTGCCTTGGCATTATGTGTTGCCATGAACACACACAGAGTTCATTCTGTTTTTCAGATGGGTTTTTATGTGCAGTGTATAATTTTGCATATCCACAATGCTGAATTCATGTGAGTTATTTCTGTGCACAGTCTTCTCTGTGAAGGAGCCATTGTCCGCTTGCCGTTTAAGAGATCCATTCAACAATACAAGAGATCAATTTTTATACCGTAATTTTCCATAATCTCCATTTTTACTATGGCTGTCTACAAAGAGGTATACTGAGTTGAAATTGGTGCTATCGATCATTCAGTCACTCATGGCGATGGCTATGGCCCTGAGTACACGCACCATGTCCTTGAGCCATTTTTATCTCTATTTGAATAGCTCTGTTTACAGTGCTGGACTAAAATTGCTGGGCGTTGTTATTGCAAAGTATTTTCATAAAAACCTTGAGGTTTTTGTAAAACTTTGATTAACTCTATTTTCCCCCATTAAGAAGCTGACTGTGCCTGTCTAATGGTAGATCTTACATTGTTGAGCTTGCTATCCCCTGAAATAACATTAAAGTTGGGTTTTAAATAATCCCTTTCAAACTTCCCTTTGGACCCTGTACTTATTACCTTCCTTTCAAATGTTTTTCACTTTTTTTTTAAACATTATCTCCCCATATATTTATATATATAAAATGTAATAGGCGGTAGTTTATTCCGTAGTTATTGGAAATGACATTTTTTCTATTGTATACAATCTCAGATCCCTTTTATAAAAACTAATAAAATATCACACAATAAATCCTTTTTAATAGGTATTTTATCTATCCCATAGAATACAATCTTTTACTAAATTCCACAAGATTTCTGTGGGGCTTTTTTATAAGGAACATCTATTTAGGATTCAGAGATGTTTGATTAACTTCTGTCCCTTTTTCCCCTTTTCTCTGTAGCTTTAGCATTTTCTGGTTTCAGTAAGGACAGAAAGTAAAACTGCTAAAGTACTATGAGAGAGGTTATTCTCATGAGAGTAACAACACAGTTTAGTAGAACCAACAGGTTTGGATAGTTCAAAAAAAATTAGAATATGCATCTAAGTCTTCAATTGCATTTGAAAACAAACTTCTTGAGCTTTGTTTGCAACAGTTTTGCAGATAAAAATTCTTAAGTCCTATGATGTAAGTGATCAATGTAATTATTTGATCCCTTATTAATTCAAACTTTGTCCACATTGACAATGTACATCAAATTAACTTTTATGCTTGCGTAATCCCTCTGAAGTCAATGGGTCTGTGAAAGTGCAGATGAGTTGGTAACAGAGTCTATAAAAACAACATTATTCTGTTTTTATTACAGAATTCAGTTTTCCAATTTGAAATCAGTGGTACCTGCGTGCACAAACAGTCCATTGCAAAAGCAGAAATAACATTTCTGATCAAGAAACTTTCAATCTGCAATGAAAACAACACATTTTAACATTTTACCAACCATCTTTAATTGCACAAATAATGACTGTGTCTCTGGCTGACATCCTTATTGCCCCCATCTTTCTATTTAAGATCGCTTCAACAGAGTTGAAGACCAGGCTGAATACACAATTTGAAAGGACAAATTCTCTAGTGACTCTCTGTTCAGTTCAAACTTGCTAATTTGACTGGGTGACAAAAGGGCAGATGAAATTTGATGTTGATAAATGCAAAGTAAAGCACATTGGAAAACAAGATCCCAACTATACATACAAAATGATGGGTTCTAAATTAACTGTTACCACTCAAGAAAGATTTTGAAGTCATTGTGAATAGTTCTCTGAAAACATCTGTTTCTGTGCCGTGGCAGTCTTAATAGTTCCTACAGTGTTAGGAACTATTAGGAAAGGAATATTGTAGATAGTAAGAATGAAAATATAATAATGCCACTGTATAGCTTATGGGTATGGGCCAGATTGTGAAAGGGGCTTTAGAGGCTGCATCTACTAAAGCCCCTGCATGTTGTAGCTCTGCCTGGTGGATTGGGGAAATGGCTCTGTGCATTGTTGTTTCCTCTGTACCCCCCATCCAGCTGGAGCAGTGTGAGCCTGCAGAAT